AAGAATTCACTATCAATTCAAATGTCATGAAGAAATCATAAATTCAGTCACATATGAAACAAGACCACAAGATAGAAAAGATGATATATATAAAAATAAGAAAATAATTGAAATGCGAGGAAAAAAATGATGAAGTGATGATCCCCAAGCAATCACTTTTTTCTTCTAATTCCCCAGTAATATAGTCGTTCATGATTGGGCCGAAGAATCAGGCTGAGCCTTGAGGTGGGTCCTAATGTAGACTTGAGCCACTTCGATAGGCTTAAAATTTGCTCTCAAGAGTTAACAGAGAATTTTTTAAAGAAAAACCACACTGGAGAGTGGAAATTAAAACTAGCCTTCCTAATTTTTGTCTAGAATAGTATCCTCTGGTAGATGTTCTCAAAACACTATCTGCACCTTCTTCTCATCTTCGTAATCACAACCCTGCCCCAACCCATGTCCCAGTCCCCCCCCCCTCCCTACCCAATTGCTTCACCCATTCCCCTTACCCTAACCTGTTCCCACAACTCCCATGCTAATTGGGAGCCTACCAAGCTTCCAGTAGCTACTTGTGAGACTTCCAAGTAGTAGGGGGCTGAGGGACGCAGGGAGGGGTCGAGACAAGATGCCTATTGTGAAAGAGTAATGCTATCTAGCTCCAATGGTATCAAAAGTCAGCCAAGGTTGCAACACATGATAAGCCCAAATAAATGGGCTTTTGTCCAGGCTATTTATCACCACCAGCGTTAAGCACAAGTTTAGATGACAATTATACGGCATTAAATGATAGATTCATTTAAATTCAAAGTCACATGACTTATTTAATTGAACCTACAAAATGTAGCCACGTAGACTAGTACTATATAGCTGAATCTATCATTTAATATGTTGCAACTTAGGTCAAACACTATGGGGCTAGATAGCCTTACTCATTTTGAAAAAATTCGCAAAAGTTAAATGACCAAGATTAAATGCATCCTTGATATCATTAATTATATTTAACTCAACAAAGATCCAAGAATCTAACGTTTTGCAACCACTACACTGGCATGCATAATGCAGTACTTGTTTAACAAAGTTTGGTCCTTTTGATCACTAACTCAGAAAACTAGGTGTTAATGATCAAATCTCTACATAATAAGCATACAATTCCACACATATAATTATAATTTCCAGAAGGAAAAATAATTGGGACCTGGCATGAGTGTCCATGAATTTAGCCTCTTTTGACGCCACCAAGAAATCGCAAGCTAAGGCAATCTCAAACCCGGCAGTGACTGCGAACCCGTTTATGGCTCCGATTATCGGCTTTTTGCACCGCTCCATCTGGGCAACCGGGTCAGTTTCCAAATCCTTTACATCTCCCTTAAAAACGTCCTCCGCCGCAGTCAAGTCCACGCCGGAGCAAAATGACCGACCCGATCCGGAAAGTATTATAACTTTTACTGAACTATCGGAAGCTAGGCTCTTGATTTCCCTTGCCAGACGAACCATCATGGGTCGGGTCAAGGAGTTGAGGGACTTGGGCCGGTTGATTATTACATAAGCCACGCCATCGAGTTCCCGGTTCACGAGTATGAGATTTTCCGGCGAGGGATTTTCCATTTATCTCTTTTTTCTGTTCAAGCAATTTTTTTTTTGAATAGTTCTATTCTAGCAGAACTATTCATTCTACAGAAAAGTTACAGAATATCATATTGTCTTTTTTAACCCTTATCTCTAAATTATTTCCTTTTTGCTTACGGTTTGTTTATAAATTAGTATCAGAATCTAATAACGAAACTGAAGAAAATTTTTAAGATGTATAGAAAAGGTAAAATGATTTTAGAAGAATTATAAAATA